TGTAACAGCATTTGCTAATAAGTGGCAAATAGTGCTTGGACCCCAGAATTGCCGCTTGTGGGAATATTTGGTTGGTTGGAATTTATACTGCTTTTCTATTTTTGCTAAAAATCTGTTCCCCCTTCCCCATAGTGTGTAGTGGACGTGTTTCAGATGGCGTCTCCAGCAGAGGTGGACACTTCTGACCCAGCTTTAGACCAGCAGAAGAGGGCGTTCTTAAAACTGCTAAGGAACACATCCTCTTTTAGCGAAATGGCTGTCCAGCTGAAAGAGATTATGGGCTGGTGCAAGAGGTGTAAGCTGCGCCAGGAGCGACAACATCTGGCCTTCCTATTTCTCCAGTGCCAGAAGATGAAGGTCTTAGATGGTGAAGGGATCAGGTACGGCTCTACAGCAGGGTTGCTATTTGGGAAATGGAGAGAGAATTTGTACTACAGGCCAAAGTTAAGGAAGAAATACAGAATAGTTAACAATTTATCATTCATAATGTTTGCGTTTGACCCCCTGTAACTGATGAAAAACAGCCCTCAAAGTAGTTGGTGAGTGTGTATGTCCACGCCGGTCAGTAAAATGGACCACTGTGTGAAATTGGAGATTTCTGTGTCCTATAACTGTATAAAAGAAGCTCCATGCTGCCTTTATTGTTGGATGCATGGCAATAGTTTCCCAGTGGACACGTTCAGAACGCAATTGTCCATCGCTACGGAAATGTTTCTGGATTTGTTTAATCAGAGTCAAAATAAAGAACACAGAAGTGTGAAGTATATTCTGACCCATGTGCTTAACATGTTTTCAGATCAGGTTCTTTGTATATCAAGGTATATGTGACAACAGCATTGAGAAATCATATTATTAAGGCAGAAGAGTAGTTTTAAAAGACAAAAATAGACAGTTTATGATATACAAAACCAGTTCCAAAAAAGTTGGGGCAGTAAGTAAAATGTAAATAAAAACCGAAAGACAAAGACAAGATATGTAGTGATTGTTCTAGTCTACTTCATTATTTTTTGTAAATATATGGTCATTCTGAAATTGATGCCTGCAACAATTTAAGACTAGGAGCATTGGGAAATGTTCAAAAAGCATCTTAAGCATGACTGCATCACCTGTTTTGGTATAAAAAGAGCATCCAGGGATGGTCTAGTCCTTAATGAACAATGATGGGTTGAAAGCTTGCCACTTTGTCAAAAATGCATCAGAAAAAATCCAGCAGTTTAACAATAACGTTGATCAATGAGTGATTACAAGGATTATAGATTTTTCATTTTCTACTCTGCATAGCAACATCAAAAAGGAAAAATCTGTGCGTAAAGGGCAAGGCTGAAAACCACAACTGAATGCCTGTCAGTTTTGATCCCTCAGCCGTCACTGCATTAAAAACCAGCATGTTTATGGGATGCATATCAGCACATGGGCTCAGGAATGCTTTGACAAATGTTGTCAGTAAACACTCTTGAGCACTGCATCCACAAATGCAAGTTAAGACTGTACTATGCACAGCAGAAGTCATATGACAGCACAGTCCAGAAACACTGCCGAGTTCTCTGGGCTCAAGCTCATTTGGAATTGACTGATGCTGAGTGGAAACATGTTTTGTGGTCTGGCAAGTCAACCTTTCAAATTATTTATGGAAATAATGGGTAGTGTATTCTCCAGGCCAAAGAAGAAAAGGACCGTCCAGGTTGTTACCAGTGTAAAGTTGAAAAGCCAGTGTCTGTCATGGTATTGGGGCAGTATTAGTGGGTATCTTGCTCATGTATAAACACATCATTAATGATGAACACATTTTGGAGCGACATGTATTTGGAGCAAGCCTTCTAGATGCCGTCTTTTTCAGGGACATCCATGGTTTAACAAGACAAAACCAAGGCACATTAACAGGCTACTAGCGCTGCTCTGTAGGTGACCCTGCCAGTCTGCAGTGACAGCAGAGGAGGGTAAAGTTCAGCTCCTCACTGCTGGGCTTTAGTTACATTTAGGGAATCATATGCCTTCAAAGAGGGGGGCAATTATTTATTATGGCCCACCCCTAATTCTTCAGTGATGCAAAGCTGAAGTCAGATATTCACCAGCTTCTTGTTCGAATTTTCCTGTTCCACCTTAAATGGCGTAGCATTTCTGATGCCTGAGGCGCCAGAATGTAACTGCTGCACCTTTTAAGGTGGAACAGGAAATTAGTTACGTAGCTAGCTAGCTAGCTACTGAGACATCAGCATAGTACTAGCGATTTTTTTTTTTTATGCTTGTTATGAAGATAAGGACCATAATACACTGAAACAACATTTAACTAAAATAATACAGTGGTTATCATAATTTTTTAACGGATAAAATTCTCACATTTGTGGTTTCTTTTGTCTCTTGTACAGCCATCTTGCTGGTTTTTCTTTTTTTTCCTGTAACACTCCGTTTGGAGTGTGACTTTGGAAAAACCTCCATTTGGAGGGCCATGTAGCCCGAACACTTCGCCCTACCCCTCTATCTCAACAAAAACTGGGACACC